ATGTAAAAAATAATTTTGATCAGTCGTGGATTCAAAATTAACATCAAAAGATCTTTTCAGATTCAAATTGGCTTTTCCACTAAAAAAAAAAAAACTCTCATAAAGACAAGTCTTTTACAAAACACTTTGAAAGTCAAGAAAGCTACGTATTAGCTACGATATCGCTTCAACGAGGCCTTACAAAAGTACACTGTGGACCCTACTAAGGTCTCCCACCTTGTGAGAAGATGCGATAAGAAACTCACATGTACTAGGGCGGCAGGAATCAAGGAAGTGACACAACATTACTATTTAAAAATGTATTTATTGCTTTTCGAAGTATTCTCCGCGAAATTTGGCTCTTTTATTCATACGATGGAACCAATCATTGAAGCAACCATTCCATTCGGAAGTTGGGGTCTCCAAAATGGCCGTTTTGTAGGCGTCTACAGCTTCTTCAGGTGATGAAAATCTCTGTCCACGCAATTTATTCTTTATTTTAGGGAAAGTATAGAAATCATGAGGGCTTAGGTCGAGGATGTACGGCGGATGGTCTAATAATTCTATGTTTTCTTGCTCTAAAAACTCTTTTGTTCTGTGTGCGGTGTGAGAACTCGCATTGTCGTGATGGAGGATGATGCGGTGGTTGCAGTTCTCTTTACGGAGTTCAGAAACGACCTGTGGCAAACAAATGTTAGCATACAATGCTGCATTAACCGTTTTTTGTCCCTCAAGAGGAATAGTCGTAACATGGCCGGTTTGGGAGACAAACGTGGCCACCATTTTTTTTGCAACACTCCGTGAACGAACAATTTTTGTTGGCTTTAACTTATTTTCAAACACCCAAACTCGTGACTGGTTTTTTGTTTCGGGTTCGTACGCGTATATCCAGGATTCGTCACCTGATACGATGTTGTATACAGCATTTGAGGATCCTGCGTGGAATCTTTCGAGAGTTCTGACGCACCAAGTAACGCGAGCCGCTTTTTGCTCTTCACAGAGCGAATGCGGTATCCATCGGGAAAACAACTTTTTTACACCTAATTGTTCATGCAAGATTATTTGTATTTGACTCATGCCAATGTCTAAAGTTGCCTGAATTTCACGGTATGTCACATGTCGATCTTCCTCAATCAGCTTACGCACAGCATCAACGTTTTCTTGGGTGACTGCAGTTTTTGGACGACCTTGACGGGGATCATCACTGAGCTTGACACGTCCACGTTGAAATTCAGCAAACCAGCGATAAATTGTGGTTTTGGATGGGGCTTCATCACCAAATGCAGAAATCATCCGGTCAACACACTGTTTTTGTGTTAAACCACTTCGAAAGTCATAATAAATCATCGCTCTTGAATTTTCTCGAGTCAATTCCATTTTCTCAACGACTAAACAAATTTGACAAAACCTTGCGACCAAAGAGAATATAACCACTACGTCACAAACTATATAGAAACACTACGTTTATTTGTGACAAGACCGAGAATCTTTTTTTAAATAAATAAATGATATTCGATTTTTAAAACCAAGGACTTTTCAATTAAAAAGATTTTAATATGACAGGAACAGTAGAAATATTCCATTCCCGATACTTTTAGTGCAGCCTATGTACTGTTTTCTCCGAACAGTAACAATTTAACTATAAAGAATATATGTAACATAAGTTAAAAAAAACAGCAAAGCTCATTATGTCCACGCATCCATATCTTTTGAATAATCATCTAATCTATATAAATAAAATGATATAGGTTTGCAGTTGTGCACGCATCACGAAAAAAACTACTGGATAGATTTCAAAACGTTTTCTAAGTTTAATTTCATAGACATTTGGGCTTTATCTAAAAAAAAAATATTGTGATATCTTCATTTAATATAGTTATTAGTTTTAAGAAACGACGATTTTTATACGGGGTTTTTGACACGGTTAACTGTACCGACCTCGCTTGCTCTCGCGACACTAACTTACACAATGTATATTATAAGAAATTTTGTAGGTAAGCAAAGTATATTTTTGCTTGCGATCTATTTGATGATTTTTCCTTCGTACATACGAAAACTTTGTTAACCTATTCGTTGCGGCACCGACAAATATTAAATGACATATTTGTCTCGCCACAGAAGTTGATGACACGCATATTGTGCCATCAGCCATGTGTAAAAGTAATGTTCTTTTTTATACTTTTTTCACTCGTTTAGACCTAATTAAGTTTAGTTGACATCAAACATCAGTTACAAACGGAAGGATACTTGTTATTCGTGGGTAACTACGTGTTTTTCTACATGTTTTCTTTGAAATTGAGAGTAAGTGACGTTTTTAATGCAGAGATTACAAACATTTTGTAATATTGTTTGTTTTATAAAAAAATCATTTATATATGTAGGTACAGCTAAATCACCCTGGAAACCTTGGTTTTTATTAAATTAAATTTTCACCTAATAATAACATTTGTAAATATCAAACAATGAAGAACCTTAATTTGGAAAAAAATAAGGTTTATGATTCATTGATATTTACAAAATGTTAAATATTATTTAATGTTTTACAAATGTAAAAGTAAAGTCGATCTGAAAACGTCTAATTAGTAAGAATAGCAAAACAAGTGTTTTCAAAAGGAAAAAAAACACCGGCGCTATACGGCGGCGGATTGACAAAAGACTATTTATTAGCGAACTTTTTTTATGCATGAACGGTTTCGAACTGTTTCAAGCAAAAATAAACCTATAAGGTTTATTTTTGCTTGAAACAGTTATCACAAGAGCACATGATACTTCGTAGGTCTATTCGGTCATATGATAGTAATAAGACGGCAGTTCAACCATTTTAAGCAAAATTAAACAATAAGACACACATTGTTTTTTTTTAACAGGAGACTTGTTTTCCAGAAATGTATTTACAACTTGAGTTTGTGAGCGATCGCAATGAGCGCTATTGTTACTTATTAGACTATTTTTCCACAACATGATTTAAAACCCACAAGGTAAAAATTGTAATGTACACGTTAAAAAAGGTTGTCAACCCCTAATTTCAAATTTTCAAAATATCCAGAAACGAAGCTGCAGGGATGAACTACTTGCAAAATAATGAATATTTTGTTCTGGATAAATCTTCCAAAAAAGCAATTTGAGCGAGTTATAACGATTTAAAAAAAGACACGACTCGCGTGTCATACGCCACACAAAATTAATCAATGGCACGCCTGGCGTGCCACACACTGAACCGATTAATATATCAAGCAACTCGGACGAAGTCGCGGGTATCAGCTAGTTTATAATATTTCCCTTCTTCATAACAACGCATTTTTACATGAGCCTTGAATTTATAGAATGGCAAATCAATAATATCACATAAAATCATGTTAATAGTATCCAATAATCGACATGCTGCAGCTATATTAGTAGTAGGTATAGTTGTAGCACGAATGGGTCGGCTCGACCGGGGATGGACCACGCTCTCACAGAATACCAGCGTCAAATAGCAGCTTAACACTGCTGTGTTTTGTATGGTGAGTGTAGAGAACCGGAGACCCTTTTTACTGGAAACGAGGCATTCTATCTTAGTCCTCACAGGTGGCAACGCATCTGCATTTTGATTCGCAAACGAGAATAAATATAGATAGATGTTTATGGGCCACAGCAGCCACTTACCATCAGGTGGACTGTGTGCTCGTTTGTCACCCTATACTATAAAAAAAATGGGCTGTGTGCATTTTTGCCACCATTAGTTCTATAAAAAAATCGATCAAGTTGTTGGCACTGTCCATATAATATCTGCTAGATATATAGATTGTCTTGCACATTGTGGCTACCGGTTTGTTCTCGCTATAGTGTGAAATGCATTTAAACAATGTATATACAGTACATTATTATTATACATTAAACAGTGAGTATTATAATACCAAGACTACATCATTACCAACAGTTTAGGACGTTTAGCACCATACCTTGGCTGTCATAGACGTTACTTTTTTTGTGTGATTCCATTTATATTAAACTTATTCATTTTTGGGAACGCCACATACTTCCCTGTAGTTCCATAACCATTTCAAAACAAAAAAGTATTGTAAGCAGAAAATGCTGATATACTAAAATTTACACAAATTTAAACTAAACTATTATTATGTATCACTTACCTATGGCTTTCAAAATTTGCTTTTGAAATGGACGTGTCGAGTTGGTCATGGTAGAACCATAAAGTTATACTTGTTTAAAATAAAAAAGTATAAATACGAAAAATATGTTTTATTTTTGCAACAATTGTATAATGTTAACATCCAAACGTAAAACATGTACATACTACATACATCACTTTAAACAATGTAAATAGCAACACCCAATAGTTCTTAATATTAATGTTACTCCAGTTATATTAAAACCCATGAATAGTAATGATATTTCAAATCAGAAAAAATGTAGAAAATTTCTTACTATATACGATTATTTACATTCTCACTCATTTTTCATCCAAAAAAAATCTTTTTTTACCCCAAATTTTGTCCAATAAGGAATGACGGATTATAATGACCCGATTATTCTTATAGAAAATATTACACAGTCTAAGGCCGCTATTAAATTATCCTATGTATATTATGAAGATCATGGACATAATAGGATACGAAGATAATAAAACAGTTTATGGATGACATACCCGATGCAGTTTACCGTCAAGTTTGCAGCGCGCTTGAAGCGGCGTTCGGTAAACTTGACGGTGTATGGCTATCATGTGCATGACAAGTCTACACGAAGCAAAAATTGAATTTTGATTTTGCCGACTTGATCAAGTTTGCAGCGTCATGCAAACTTGAACGTGTGTATGAGCGATCAAGTATGCATGACGGTAGTCGGAGCAAACAAGCGAGAGACGCCATGGTTTCAACTGATGCGGCATCATGCAAACTTGACATCGAACTTGAACGTGAGTGGTCTATAGGAATGCTTCATCATATATCTATAACCGTATACATAATATTATGATAATGTAATAGAGGTATAACAGATGCAGAATAACGATTTTATCAGATGACTTAAGCAGCAGTGACGAAGCCTTTCTGCAGTTTGTCTACGTACTCCTTGCGGCAGGGCATATCGTCTGCCGGTCGGTTGTATGGAAGCCAGACTGGTTCGCCGACAAAGAAGCGTTTCGCTCTGATGAAATGCTGAAATAAATACAAATAGTTCTTCATGTAATGGAGTTTTAAAAAGGATATTTTTTTTTAAATAGAATAAGGATGACACGATGATTATTAACGTGGTAGAGCCATGCTGCAGCTATATTAGTAGTATAGTTGTAGCACGAATGAGTCGGCTCGACCAGGGAAGGACCACGCGCTCACAGTATACCAGCGTAAAATAGCAGCTTTTCACAGCTGTGTTTCGTATGGTGAATGTAGAGAACCAGAGACCCTTTTTACTGGAAAAGCGGCATTCCATCTTAGTCCTCACGGGTGACAACGCATCTGCAATTTGATTCTTTATTAAGAATAGATGTAGATGCCTATGGGTTACAGCAACCACTTACCATCAGGTGGACTGTGTGCACGCTTGTCACCCTACCCTATAAAAAAAACACGAGCACGCTGTCCACCTAGTTAGTGGATGCTGTGATCCATAGATATATACATATAATTAAGAAACTCATTTAAGAATCAAAATGCAAATGTATTGTCACCCTGAGAACTAAGATGGAATGCCTCATTTTCAGTAAAAATGGTCTCCGGTTCTCTAAACTCACCATAAGAAACTGAACAGCATTGAGCTATTATTTTTAAAACATATGTATTAGAGGTTTGCACCGGAGTGGAATTTTGACAACCGATTGAATTCACCGGTTATTTGGCAATCTCCGGTGATTCACCGGTGATCACCGGAGAAGAGCTATCACCAATAAAGAGCTACTTGGTCAAATGACTCGGCAGCACAATTCCCTAGGAAACAATTATTTAATTTTAAATTTATTTAATTATATAAATACATATGTTTTACGGAGATAATAAATGCTGATTTTGATTGAGAAAACACAACTTATCAATAGCATCATGGCACAACATATTTTTTCTGTTATTGAGTATGTGACCTGTTATGACTTTGTGTTTCTGTATACATTTTTAATAAATTTATTGCCGTAGGTGACGTCATATCTGCATTATTGGTATTCGTTTTTAGAAATCTTGGCAAATCCGAGCGACCTATTTCGCTTGCACATAACTCACTTAAAGTGACTTCTTCTGTGCTTTGAGGTATGTTTCTGACCTGGATCGTGTTGTTAATTGCTGCCTTTACAGCTTCTTTAGCACCCAATTTATTTTTCAACTAGCTGTTCCCCGCGACTTCGCCCGCGTGTAATTTATTACGATTAGATTTGATACAAAAATTTTAAGAATTGTGTTTTTATTATAAGTACCGTATATGAAATGTGAATACGTGAATGAAAAAGCTGTTATTTTGAGATTACAAACAGATTGTCTAAACCTATTCCTGAAAAGGGGATGCAGTATGGTGGAAATCCGGCAAACAGTTCGAGATTCGTAATCAAGTAAGCGATCGTTCATACTTTTTTTAAGTGTATGGAAAAATATTTCTCCAACTGTTGTAGAGATTCTGAGGCCAGCCCATAAATAATAGGTATTATTAAATTGGATGTTGCGTATTGGTCTCCGCTTATCATTTGAGTGGCTTGCTCAAATACATCTAGCAAAAGCACCATATCTTTTAATATGTTTTCTTCTGGGCTAATAATATGAGGTGCTTGGGGCAGTTTTCTTTGTGCGGTTATAGTGTCAATTAATTTTAAAATTCTTTTTAGATAGGAACCCAAGATAAGTTAAATTAGTTTACGATTTCAGTTTCATAAGTGTTTAGTTTTCGTATGTATGATACAATCCACCTTTTTATTTATTTTTTCTATAAGGTCTATTTGAAGAATATGCGCAAAGGATGACTCCATTTTCAGATAAAGAACAAGAGGGTTGGTGTCCTGCAAATATTACAAAAAAGCAACAAACATTACTTGAAACATAAAATGAAGCGAACACAAACTGAAAATGAAGAAAATGTTTATGCACATTGCAACACTCTTTGTAAAGCTAGTAGCTAGTGAAATGAATCACATAAACGGACAAGAAAGCTTTCAGTTAATGACCGAAATAATTAGTCTCATTCGAAAGAAGCAAATTAGTAAATAGATGTAATAAATGCAGTTAAATAATTAGAATATTGATTAATGAATCTTTCTTTTATTTGTGTAATGTTTATTACATTAAAAGATTATTTTAAGATGTAATACGATCACCGGAGTTTCATCGATTAATCTCCGATTGTTTCACTCGAGTACTTTTACCGGTAAATCATCGGCGATTCTCCGGTACTCACTGCTCCGGTGCAAACCACTGATATGTAAGTAACAACTTCTCAAATAAATTTAAAATGTTAAAAACAATAAGAGCAGATGATCTTCGAACGGCTGAAAAGATTTTCTTGAATCATAGTTAAGAACACTGGATTAAGTCACCTTTCAAACAAAAATAAAACTAAGTCTAAATCAATTTATCCATTTGGGAGTTACAATGCCACAGAGACACACAGATACACAGACATACAGATCCACACATTATATATATTATAACCCTCCTCTTTTTTATCGGAGGTTAAAAACAAGGTGGTGCATTTTTCTTCTCATCAGCCTGTAGAAATCCACAGCTGGACAAGGTTTTTTCCCATTGTAATCCTCTCGATTTGATCGCTCGGTAGACAGACTAACAATCGTAGGCCCAGATGTCTCGCACCTTGAATGCTTACGCCACCTGTCTGGATATTTTAAACTTGGCATAAACGAGATAGTATACTGCCCTCTACCTGTTTATACGTTGTGATAAAAAAGCGTCCATTTCATTTAAAATATGTAATAAACTGAGATAATAATCCCCATTAATACTTTTAAGGATATTTAAAGAAAATCTAAGCAACATGCAAACAGTATTTCCCTTTTTTGACGAAATTTGCTTTGCATGTCTTTATTTACTTTGCATTTAACATTTTATTCATTATCAATTAATGAGTTACCTACCAGGCGGACAAATTCAAATGTCCATTTCTATTGCGATGTTTTTTTTTAAAATCGAGGGTATATGTCTTCATTTACGTGCCAGATTTTCTACATTATTTTGAAATTTGAAATAATTTTTATACAGACTTATAGATAGAGTTAATTTAAGCTCATTTTCATAAAAATGTAGATGTCTGTTTCTACTTTGCTGCCATCGACATAATAGTATAGACCACAAACATTATTCTTCAAGTCAACATTTTTGACACAAACTCGGGTTGGATCCTTTTTGCCTAACCACGTCCAATTAGGGTGACAAACGAGCACACAGTCCACCTGATGGTAAGTGGTTGCTGTGGCCCATAGACATCTACATCTATCCTCGTTTGCGAATCAAAATTCAGATGCGTTGTCACCCCTGAGGACTGTAATGGAATGCCTCGTTTCCAGTAAAAAAGGTCTCCGGTTCTCTACACTCACTATATGAAACACAGAATCATTAAGCTGCTATTTTACGCTGGTATTCTATGAGAACATGGTCTTTCCCTAGTCGAGCCCACCCATTTGTACAATATACCTGTAGCATGGCTCTACCACGTGTTTGAGAAATCCAACTAAATGTCGAAAAATTAAAGACTTATTTTGTCGATTTCTATCGTGTTATTATTATTATATTATTATATTTGTAAACATTTACTAACATTTGTATCAAGGGTGAACCGGTGATAGATGCCTTTGGGTATGACGATCATGTCACCAGCATAAACAGCTATCCGGATCCATTGGTCATCGCCATCTCGAACATCGAAATAGCCAGAACCTTCTAGGACAAACCTGTAAAATAACATTAGAATCTTAAATATTAACAAACAGTAAATTAAGCTATAATGTCCAATATGAGATGAGATCTGTGATCTATATAGGGTTGCATACATTTACTTTTTTATCAACTATAAAGTATTACTGATTGTAAAGGCAGTAACTCTTTAATAATATTATTTGTAGCTAGCTAATTGTTTAATGTAGATAATAAATACCTACAATTCCTTCAAGCCCTAAGCGTGGGTGAAATGCCTAAATTCTCGGATATTTAAGTAAAATATTACAATAGCTGTTAATTTAATTCGCAGAGAAATAATATAGAATGACAGATAACATAGGAAAAATTTCTCATTAGTATATACACAGAAAAAAGGGTCTTAAAAATCTTAATACATCTTCTTAACTGAGTTTTATTTTTATTTCTTCTTTTACTCATGAAAATAATGCCCGCAGGAGCATGCTTTCTCCGACGTCCTGTAGTCTCTATGACTATGGTCTCCATTTCGTCAAGGTGATTCTTGAAGCTTTAAGCAAGTAATACTATACACAATAATTTGTTGTTGTATCTATACACAATAATGTGTAGTTGACTTTCTACAATTATTGACAATAATAGAAAACATTAAAAATAAATGGAAATTATAAGACTTTGGAGCTGGTACTCAGAGAAAATCTTGAGATTAAATTCAAACTCCTATACTATATTCTACAGATTTTGACATTGTGACGTTTGAGTCTTAAATTGAGATTGTCTCTAAATAGAGGGTAGTTACATAATTAATTGTTCACTTTTTTCATTTTTTGCTGACTTCAAAAGAAGTAGGTATAACTGCCTATTATTTGTATGTGTTAGGCTATATCCTTGCCAATTGTGAAATAAAATTATGAAATGATTCTGTATGGTGTAATGATGGTTATTTTTTGAACTATCAGGGCCCTTTAGATAATAATAAATTAATTAAAAAACTCTTTTGATATTACATAAGTTACAAATAAATAATAATATAATGATTTTTTATATTTACACAAACACTACACATTTAAATAAAACTAGTTTTTATGGATTTTATCGTGTATATTAATTTATTTTATATTCTCAATGTTTCGAGCACTTTACAGCACCCATGGTCACAGGTGAGACAGAGGTGTTTGACGTCCCTATGTCATAGTTAATCTGGAGGTAGCCGTGGTTAACTATAATTTAACTAGTTTTCTTTAAATAATAATATCATAATGAAATTTGCACCTGATTTCTTCATCTGTATGCAAGTGTTCTGTAAAAAAGGACTTCAGCTTTTCTTCAAAGTTTGGCAAACACTCTTTGGAGCAAACAATTTCATCCTCATAGGTGTAGCCACGCTCTTCTTTAATTTTGTCCAATATTCCATCAGTTTTATAGGTCTCAACATTTATCTGAAATTGAAAATTAAATTTTTTAGAACAAATAGAAAAAATATATAAAAATGCCTTCATATACAGTAACAACATATAAATATCCCACAGATGGAAGCACACGCCTGTCATATTTAAAAAATTATTGCAGAGCCAATTACATTTTTTTAATTGATTGACTCTTCTCATTCTCCAAATATTTTTATTTCATTTCTATAACACAAAAGTTTCCTAATGTTTTGTTTACTAAAGATCATTTGCAAAAAAGGTTTTCAAAGGCAACCAATATGAGAATAAATAAATGGCAAATAGGCTTACACAATAGTTTGCATTCATTTAGATATATCAGATGCACTTTCATAATTTATTTCCAAATTATATTTAGTAAACAAAATTGCTCATTACAACTTGAAAATAATTGTAAGAGATTCATCATCATTATCATCATTACAGCCCTTCACAAGTCCACTGCTAAACATAGGCCTCCCCCAAAGAATGCCACAAAGCACGGTCCTGAGCCACCTGCATCCATCGACTTCCTGCATATCTTACCAGGTCGTCACTCCATCTAGTGGCCTGCCGGTACGAGGCTGCCACTCGAGAACCTTTCTTCCCCATCGGTTGTCGGTTCTTCGAGCTATATGGCCAGCCCATTGCCACTTCAGCTTACTAATCCGTTGGGCTATGTCGGCCACTCTGGTTCTACTGCGGATATCCTCATTTCTGAGTTTATCACGCAGAGAAACTCCGAGCATAGCCCTCTCCATAGCTCGCTGAGCGACCTTGAGCTTCCTCATCCGGCCAGCAGTGAAGGACCACGTCTCAGATCCGTATGTCATCACTGGCAACACGCACTGGGTGTACAGTCTCGTTTTCAAGTTTTGAGGTATACCTGACGAGAAGATGTGCCGTAATTTCCCGAACGCTGCCCAACCGAGTTGAATCCGTCGATTGACCTCTCGGTCGAAGTTGGACTTACCTAGTCGGACTATTTGTCCCAGGTAAACATACTCGTCAACAACTTCGAGCTTAGTGTTCCCAACAACTACCGGCATAGGTGTGACATGGACATTAAACATGATCTTTGTTTTGTCCATGTTCATCTTAAGACCTATTCGTTGGGAAACACTATTGAGGTCATTGAGCATAGTGCTTAGGTCCTCCAGCGATTCTGCCATAAGGACTATATCGTCGTCAAATCGAAGGTGAGTGATGTACTCGCCATTGATGTTGATACCGTATCCTTTCCAGTCCAGAAGCTTGAAAACATCTTCCAATGCAGCGGTAAAGAGTTTCGGGGATATGACGTCACCCTGTCTTACACCTCTCTGCAATTGGATAGGTTTCGTACGCTGGTTCTGTACTCGGATAGCCATCGTAGCCCTACTATACAAGCACTTCAACACTTCGATATACCGACAGTCAACTTGGCATCGCTGAAGGGACTGCAACACCGCCCAAATTTCGACGGAATCAAAGGCTTTCTCATAGTCCACATACGCCAGACATAGTGGCAAATTGTACTCCTCGGACTTCTGTACAATTTGCCGAAGGGTATGTATGTGGTCCATGGTGCTAAAGCCTTTTCGGAAACCGGCTTGTTCGGGAGGCTGGAAGTCGTCAAGTCTGCGCGCGAGACGATTCGTAATGACTCTCGAAAACAGCACGTAGACGCGGCTCAGAAGGGAAATCGGTCTGTAGTTCTTCAAGAGAGTGTTGTCACCTTTCTTGAAGAACAAGACCACCGCACTTCTGCTCCACGCCTCCGGTGTAATGCCACCATGGAGGACGGAATTAAAGAGCCTCTGAAGGACTTCAAGTACCGGTCTTCCACCCGCTTTCAGAAGCTCCGCTGTAATTCCATCCTCGCCTGGGGCCTTACCGTTTTTAAGGTGCTGGAGAGCCATTCTAATCTCGCTCAGACTGACGTCCGGGATATCTTCGGAATAGTGTCGGATGAGACTCGCTCTTGGATCGTTACTCACACTTGCGTGTGGCTCCAACGATGACGTGTACAGCTGCCCATAGAACCTCTCAATCTCACTCAAAATCTCAGGTGTCCCGGAAACGATGCTGCCACATTCGGTCTTCAGCCTTGACAGTTGGCTCTTTCTGGCAGACAGATCTCTGGCAAAGACTTTGGAGCCTTGGTTCCGCTCTATCGCTTCTTCAATACGAGCTGTATTGAAGTTGCGTAAGTCCCGCCGTATGCATTTGGAGATCTGTCTGTTCAGATGCCTGTATGCTGTCAAGTCTGTTGAAGAATGTAGCTTCATCTCCCGTCTAACAGCCATGAGATTAAGAGTGTGATCGGAGAGTTTTTGTGTTCTTCTGCGGCGGGTCTTGCAGAACTTAGCTCCGACCGCATGGACAGTTTCCACGAGCTTGTCATTCAAATCGTCCACTTCATTGCAGTCTTCTAGGCACTGAAAACGGTTTTGTAACCCGAGCTGAAAGGTTTCGGGACTTTGGATTAGAGCACGAGGGGGACGGAGCGTTGACTTCATTAGATGAGACCTCTCCAACTTAACGTTTAGGTTCAGTGTGCCTCTAACCATTCGGTGATCGCTACCAGTTTTCACCCTCGCGATCACTGAGACATCACTGAACAGTTGTCGTCTGGTCGTCATAATGAAGTCAATCTCATTTTTTGTCGAACCGTCGGGGCTCGACCAGGTCCACTTCCTGTGGGGCCGCTTCTGGAAGAAAGAGTTCATCATAAAGAGTCCCTCTTTCTCCATGAAGTCGGCCAGCTGCTGGCCCCTTGGGTTCCGTTGCCCTATTCCAAATTTCCCTACTTTCAGCTCACCGTTCTCTCTTGTGCCTAGTTTTGCATTGAAGTCTCCCATTAACACCTTATATTGGGTTTTGGAGGAATGCATGGCTCTAGAGATATCCTCATACATTTCCTCCACCTCCTCATCGGGGTGTGCCGAGGTTGGTGCGTAAACCTGTATGACCTTCAGCGAATACCGTTTGGTGATTCTGAGTATAAGGTACGCAACCCTCGTCGACACACTCCCGATCTTTACAACGTTGTTAACGAGAGACTTGTGGACGATAAATCCGACACCTCCTTGGGACAGATGGTCGCCCTCCCGGTGATAGAGCAAGTTGCCGGATTCGAGGATTACCGTGTCCTCCCCTCTCTTCGGACTTCGGATAATCCGATAATATGCCAGCGCAACTTGTCTATCTCTTCTTCCAGCTCCACGATCTTCTCGTCAGTCCTCAGGGTGCGTGCGTTGTAAGTTGCCAGGTCGAGTCGTCTAAGGTGGCAACCGAACCTCCACCGGAGATTCTTAGCACCCCCTGCCCCGCCGTTACCATGGTCGCCACCGTAGCCAGGAATAGCGGGGCCGCCGGGGACTGGGGGCCGTCTGTTTGTTGCTTTAGTCATTGGGGGGTATTTGCCATAGTTGCCACACTTGGCGAGCGGGTTGGCAACTGCAGTTTTTTTATTATAATTTTGGCTATTATCAGGGAGATGCTGCTGCCCATCTTCTGCCTGTTTCCCTTTGTCGCCTTTTACGACACCCACGGGAGGATATGGGGTAGTGGATATTCTTGACCGCCACTACACGGCGAATACACAGTTCATATCTTAAGGGTGAAATACTAAAAAAATTTTTAGTTGATTTTCCAAAGTTTATGAGACTATTGTACTAAAATAATGAGAATAACATAAAACAATAAAAGATTTTACCTTATTTTAAGCCATTTTTATTTCATTTTCTGCCTGATATATTAATTTATACATGTTGATTTAAATCAATGTTTTTTTTTAATCAAAATCAAACGATTTAAATTGTGATTTAAATCATGATTTAAATCAGTCTCATTTAAATCTGCCAACCAACCATCATTTAGGGCTGGGTACAATGTTCCAGACAATGGAGGAAACTGAATTGAGTAAATGGCGCAGGTATGAATCTCTGAGAGATGATTATATATTTTGGCCTATTTTCTGTCAGGCAGGCCTTTGCTGAAGAGACTAATGTCTAAAATATGTTCATAAATCCAGTCCAGTCATGGTGACAAAAGGGCTAGTTCTTTTATCATTCCAAAGGTAAGCATAGCCACTCAGCAAAGAAACATTAAAAGATAATTTTAGCTTCCTTTTAATGTTATAAATATTGTTTATCCCAATTATCCTTTATGCTTTTCATTATCAAAATATAAAATAAATAATGTATCAAGCAGTTAAGTTATTGTTAAATATTGGTTTTTATTATAGACTTGATGATAACAAACTTTACATAAAATTTTAGATAAAACTTACTTTAAAATATTCAACACCGGTTTTCTTGTATAAATCTTCCACAGTGATAAATTCGGGTGGGTTCCTATGATGTTCTAAACATTGATTCGTAGTGTCGTTATCCATATACCACGCTTTAACCATTTTTGTATCTAAAAAGTTAATATATTACGATGTTATCGTTATCCACTAACAAAGTACCACAAACTATATAGAAACCACAGAATACTTTACTCCTAGCGGAGATCATACAACTTTATAATTTGTGGCGGAGATAGAATATAGACACAAACTTTCAGTATATACACTCTTATTTATGACACAAACTATATAGAATGAATATAGAATAGAAACACTACGCGTAAAAAGCAAAGTTGTATTTTGCGCAAAGTACTTATCAGATTTTTCATAACTGGCTTTAGGGCTCTGGGATCTAGCCCTTCTGAGGTTCTTATCAGATACAAATATACAATACAGTATACTATATAAAACGAGACCGAGAGACGCAAATTTTTTGATAGGTCAACTCGAGTTACTAACTCGAGTTAACTCGAGTTAAGCGCAACTCGAGTTAACTCGAGTTGGATCTCCCTATCTCGAGTTTGGGCTGCTGTACATGAACGGATTAAGTGGACTAGCATGAGAGTAAAGCCCGCTTTTCACTATGGGATATAATATAATATATATTACATCTCGAGATATAAATTAATATCGCTCACCATACTTTTAAATGGAACCGTTTACACTGAGCTATAATATATATTACATCTAAAACTATAAATATTTTTTCGATCAACCGAGCGATATTTTCAAATTATATTTTGCCCCCTGTACCCCGCACACCGATCCGCGCCGCCACAGAATGGTGTGCGGGGTGCAGGGGGTAATGCACAGTCACAGTGTGAAAACCAATCGCGGGATAAAATTTACATGTCGGGATATTATATCCCATAGTGAAAAGCCAGCTTTAGAGTGCGATTCGTTCGTTGTGTGCGCGCTTTGCGTTTCAGAGTATTTAGCTAGAACCAAAACAATTTGTCATTTAGAGGTTAATAATAGCTAAGTTATGTAATTTAATTTCTGTTATAATTTTTATTAGTTATGATCATCATAGTTACGTAAGTCATAGACTTATTATTGTAATACAAGGAACGGGCGGTTAAGTTGTAAAATACATCATATTTTAAATTAACGCCAAATGTAACACTTAACTTATAATAAATATTTTGAAATTGATAAAGTTTGAATTTATTTATTAAAATTTTGACTGTGATAATTAATCTATTGATAGTGTTGCGCGCCACTAATAATGTCTTGTATATGACAACACTAGTTACCACTAGCGCCCTCTAGTGTCGATATCAGAACTAGGAGAGTCAAGATCCTTCTAGGAATTTCGGGACCGATATGTACTCGAACATTCTAGATATTTCTACAGTATAAGGTCCTGGAAACTATCTGAGGCCCTATATAAAGCCGGTATAGACCACGACCAAGCAGTATTGAATTGGCGATATAAGCGAATACTTCAAAGCGAAATAACTGCGAATTAAAGTGTTCAGTAGTTCAACTGCGTTTTATTATTAGTGTGGTTTTAAGTTGTAATTAGTGTTTTATAATTAAAGTGTCCATTTTGGTAATTCAATCGGCTGTTTTTAATTGTCTCGAACCCCAAGCTCGTAACAATAGCTTGTGTATGCACATCTTAAAGCTAGACTAATATTGTTTCGTGAAGACTATATAGCTAGTTTTGTTGTTAAATACAGGTACTTAATTTAACTAATATTCAAACCAAAACTACATAAGTATGTGGTACATACTAAATATATATTTTTATTTCAATCATACGATATAAATATAAGTATATATTCTATCCTACAATACAATATAATATATTAATAAGTTTGGCTTAGATTATTGATATTTATCAATAATCCAAGAAGTTTGGTAATTTTAGTTATCCCAACTCAACAAAGAGCTAGATAGATAAACAAATTTCTAAAAAAGTTATTTGTAACAAATCATTTACTCTGTTTCGTACTGCTAACTCGAGTTGAGTAACTTGAGTTCAAACTCGAATTACGTGAATTTCAACTCGAGTTAACTCGAGTTGTAATTTTTCCAAATTGGCACATCTATATGCAAATTCAGAAGTCTTCTTCTTCTTTTCTATTAATCACAATGTTTATTATATATAGGAGAGCTATTAATATATGGCTTGTTTCATATGATTATAATATACTCTTTGATCTGAGCTAAGTAATAGTGATGTGTCCCTCACTCGTGAGTTACCTCCGTACGCCGACTAATATTTTAACGGTGGTAGAGCCACGCAGCAGATTTTGCTGTTGCGCGAATGGGCCGGTTCGAGCCGGGTTGGTACCACGACTTCACAGAATACCGGCGTGTAGTGGAAGCTCTGCTTCTACGCTTCGTCTAGTGAGTGCAGGTGACCGGAGGCCCACTCCCCCCCCCCCCATCAACATGGTAGCGGAATTACATTAAAGACTACCCCAGGAGGGTACCAGCACCCCTGGAGAATCCCTCGCTGAGCATCCACGACCATGTTACTCCACTCCTGAGCGTGGGTGCTCAGGCTGCCCCGCGTATTCTGGAGGGTGGGGCAAAATTCCGCTCAACTATTTATGAACTATTTATGCCATCATCTGTGGTACATATCGGAGGCAGATCTCAGCCTTAGATTGGTCGCTCCTGTAAGAATGCATTACGCAGTAAGCAGGAGTGCTATCGGGCCTGGGCTGAGGCTCGGGATGTAAACACCAGCATGTTTAAAAAGAAGTATAACTTCGCCTCCAGGTCCTTCAAAAGAGTTATTGCCAAGGCAAAGTCAGAGCACATAGGCAGAGTTGGCAAGAAACTAGTTCGACTTCCTTCGGGAATCCGTGCTTTCTAGTCTCTCGCCAAGGCTGGCCAAGGGAATTTCTGTAAGCCATCAATATCATCTCTGTACAGGAAGGACGACTGATCGGCCCACGCCGCAAAAGAGAAAGCCGACCTTTTAGGCTCCCTTTTTGCGTCCAACTCGACTCTTGATGACGGGGCGAACATACCGCCGACCATCCCGCGGTGGTGCTCCATGCCGGATGTGCGGTTCTCACAGCGATCGTTCCGCAAAGCACTCCTCTCCCTGGACATCCAGAAGTCGAGTGGGCCTGACGGAATTCCCCCAATTCTGCTGAGGACGTGTGCTCCGGAGTTGGCACTGGTTCTAACACGTCTTTTCCGGTACTCCTACTCTCTAGGCGTAGTCCTGAAATCATGGAAGACAGCTTTTGTCCACCCGATCCCTAAAAAAGCGACCGCTCAGAACCGTCCAACTATAGGCCTATCGCCATCACATCCTTGTTCTCCAAAATAATGGAATCAGTTATAAACTGCCATCTCATGCGGTACCTTGAGGATCACCAGCTGATTAGTGACCGCCAATACGGTTTTTGTCGGGGTCGATCAGCTGGTGATCTTCTGCCCTACTTGACTCATAGGTGGGCGGAGTCAGTAGAGTTTTTTCGCATTGACCGTTAGCTTGGACATTGCGAAGGCCTTCGATCGGGTTTGGCACAAAGCACTTCTTTCGAAACTCCCTTCCTATGGGCTTCCCGAAAAATTGTGCAATTGGATCACCAGCTTTCTTGCAGATGGGTGCATCAAGGTGGTAGTAGACGGTGCATACTCCGACTACAAGCCTATTAACGCTGGTGTTCCACAAGGCTGCGTGCTATCGCCTACGCTGTTTCTTCTGCATATCAATGATATGTTGCAAACTGGCAGCATTCATTGATATGCGGATGACAGCACTGGTGATGCTCTATACACCGGCCGTGCCAATATTTCTCGGGAAAACGTCGCCGAGTATCGGAACAAACTTGTGTCTGAAGTCGAGTTTTTGCTGGACAAAGTCTCAGATTGGGGGCGACTAAACCTGGTCCAGTTTAATCCTCAGAAGACACAAGTTTGCGCGTTTACCGCTAAAAAGAACCCCTTTGTCGTATCTCCTCAGTTTCAAGGCACTCCCCTTGTTGCCTCATTCAGTATCGGAATCCTCGGCGTCGACATATCGAGTGACGTGCAGTTTTGCAGTGAACGAATTTCTGTAAAAGACACGAGAAGAAAATATGGTTGAGGTCACCAATATCTAAACCACACTTACATATAGAAGCATTTTTAATATGAAGCCTAGCAAGGTTAACCGAATTACAACAGTGACCCAAGCGCATTCTACATAACATTGATGTGTTTCTTATTCAAATTTAATGTATAAGACCAAGGCTTAGAAGGAATGGTGAGTTGAATTTTGGCATATTGACAGCCTTTTGTCGTTTTGGTTTTGTTCCAATGTTTTGACCAGCTCTATATAATAATTTCGTAGTCCTTATAAGGTCATAGCAATAATTTATAAATAGGAAAATATTCCCACAGACTATAGCTTGTTTAGCAAGTTTGTCAGCTTGTCATTACCAGATATACCAATATGACTAGGAATCCAAACAAGACAAATGTTGATGTTTTGAAATTGGTATAAGAATAGAAGTTTCTTAATTTCAAATATCAAAGGATTGCGGGGAATGTCATAGAAAGCATTGCATAACAATGCCTGTAAAGGACTAAGAGAATCTGAAACTATCACGCTTGATTTTAATTTAAAACTATAGCAATATTTTATTGCTTTTAAAATGGCTAACATTTCTCCTGTAACAACTGAAGATTCGGGAGGACATTTAATTTTTGAACTTTTCTCCAATTTTGATGGAATATTGCGTAGCTAGTGCAACCTTTAGAGTTAATTTTAGAAGCGTCTGTAAAAATAAAATGATAACGTGGAGGATCACCGCATTCAATCTGCAAGGCATTGATAGGTGATGAATTCATAGCGCCTATAATTAATCTTAAAGACCTGTGTTGAACAATATCTAAAGTTCTAGAATAGAATAGAATAATTTTTTATTCAATATAGATCACATGTATAATTCTTATTGAAAGTCATTTTTTACTTTACCACTGGTTCGAAAAAAAACCTCTGTCCTGGCAAAAACCAGCAAGAAACCCAGCGGGACTTTTTTTTAAAGCAAATTTTACAATAATGGTTGTACAAACTATATAAGTACAAAATTTATTTTAGAAACAGT